CCCCAAAACCCCAAAACCCCGTGATAATAAAAATATTAAAAAATCGAAGTATGTAACATTATTGATTTTTCTAAAAAATTTATTATCAATAAATATGAATCAGTCCAACATCAATAAAAAAGAGTAAAATCAAGATTAAATAGATTCAACTGATTTAAACGAAGAAGCTATCAAGTAATATATTTGGAGTTATTGAATAGGAGAGTAGCAATGAGTTTGAACAATAATCATACAGTTTAGTGGCTCAGGAAGAGATTCGCTCATACTTCCAAGATTTAATACTTAAATCGACCTCAAGAACTAAAGAAATAAATCGACATACAAAATGTGTTCAAGAAATTCGACGAGGACGGCTCAAGTAAGAGCGATTTAATAAGAAATTATTTTAGATTCTCTGGATGTGAACGAAGTACATGAAATGTTTCAGCAGAACGGAATAAATATAGGGGAAGAAACGCTGAAAAAATTATTCTCCATTGTTGATAAATAAAATAAAGGGGCCCTTGATTTAGACAAATTCTAAAAATTCGTGATGTCAGAAGAAGCTAACCACAGTATTTGAATACTTACTTATAACCTTTTAGAATTTAGAAAGTTGATTAAAATATTAAGAAAACAAGAGGAAGAGAAAGCATAATAGAATAAAGTTGCCTTTTTGCCTTTCGATTTCAGTTCGCTGTTAAATTTTCTATCACAGAAAAGTCAGAGAGATAAATTACTTTCACAAGTTGAGTAATCAACATTTAACGTTGAAGAGACAGTTTAAGATATTTAAGCTTTCAATAATCTGTTTAAACTTAAGGCTTAAGCAGACACTGATGACCTAGATTTACCTATATAAAAGGAAGTTAAAGTCAGGTGTGAGATGGAAAGAATGCAACCTGGGACAAAGATTGATTTTTAAAAATCTCAAACATCTACTATTAATGAAACATACAATGAGGATGAATCTTTGAACAAGATCGATGTCTATAAGGATGCTAAACTCCGAATACAAGCTTTTCAAAGGATTTATAAAGATTAGAGTATGTTTAACGATAGCAGTAAACATTCAAGTCCAATTGGAAAGCACAGTGAAAGAGGATCCCAAAGTGTAAAGATAGAAAAGATATTGAATAATTATGCTAAGTAATCAATGGAGAAAGAACTGAGTAAAACAAATGTAATTGATGAGTTTTAAGATGAAATTGATGAGTCAAAGCATCTTAACTAAAACTAACTAGCAAGTAGAATAGATAAAATGATGGCTTCTACTTAAAAAGATTAAGGCCTCTAGTTGAGATCTTAATTGAACTCAATTTTAGAGGCAAACCAGAATGAAATCTCCAAACTTACTAGTCAATCATAAAGTTAGAGAATGCTCCCTTAGCACCGTAAAAGTTCATCATAGGATTTGTAGAGAGCGTTGACTTAACTTGAGTAAGTTCCGAATGTACTAATGAAGTATGAAAACTTTGGTGCAGACCCATATAACAAAAGTAACTTTAGTAATAGCATTTAGATATCAAACAATAGATAATTCTAAAGCAATAGATAATTCTTGAATTTTTTACAACATAAAAACAAAAAAAGGATTTCTAATGATTAAAAGATATTCAGAGAAGCGAAAAAGCATTTCAAGGTGCCTGCAGATGGTTTTATTGATTTTAAGTAAAATCAAATTGATATAGAGAAGTTAAGAGTAGAAGACTAGAGCAAGAATCTTTAATCAATGCAGAATTTTATGTTTAAGAGAAGAGATTTCGCTGCAATAAAGGATGAGAAATTGTAAAGCAGAATTATTTAAGATTAAATGAGAATCAATCGAATGGGCCTCTACGGAATGGAGTTTCAAAATCCGAGTCCTTCCAGAAATCTACAAACATTACCTCTTAAATTTGGCAAGACATAGAGAATCACCATGAAGGATAATTTAAGAGCTACGAGTACAATTAATTACGGTGATGAATAAGATAATTTTTAGAAATCACTTAAACTAGTTGATTTGAAGTAATCAATCACAGACAGAACAAAAAGAAGACATCAAACAAATGAAAAGAATAATGATGAGCAGGTTTTAAGAACTTATAGAGATATTAAAATGCAGGTAAACAACATGAATTCATTCTCAAACTAGAAAGCCTGGCAAACTATCGATTAATAAGCATCCTAATTCGATTACAGAAATAATCATGCTAGTCTTGAAAAACTTCATAAGTTTAAGGATACTTAGCCTTTCTCTCATGTGTTTAAAAGAAACTAAGAAAAAAATTCCAAAGATTAAAAGTTTGAGAGAAGATAATTTATCAAAGAAATAATAAGTAAAAAGCAAAATAATTTGATGATGAGTCAAGCTTAATCCATTATAAGAGATATTGAGCAAATTGTTCCAAATGTAAAAAGACCATAGGATTTGATCAATACATAAAGAATGAGCATGCTTTGATAAAATAAAATAGATCCAGAATGATAAAGTTAATTTCATCACTATGATTAAAATATATTCCAACCTTATGGGGTTTTGGGGTTTTGGGGAGATCG